AATAAATAATAATATGGAAGTTATATTTTTCAATTTTATTATTTTTTACGAAACTGTTTATATGTAGCAAGTATGAACATTAAGCAAAAATTCTGCATAATATAGAAATATACGAGTTTCATTAAAATATATAAAAAAAAACAATCATTTGTATATATAATACAATAGAAATTTTATTATATTTAAATCAAATATAATAATAACTAATAGTAACTAAACAACGAAAAATATGAAAATTAATAAAAATCAATTTTTTATTTGTAATATAATTTGTAATATATTCTTTCTTTCACTAGATCCTTATAATTAGTCATTTTATAATTATATATAGATTAATTATATAGATTATATATAGATATAATTTCTGTCAAATGTCAAAATAATTTATATATTTTTTTCAGAAACCTTTTTTTGTAAAAAATTATAATTAATTAAATATAACCATAATTAGAAGTAAAAAAAGATCATTGATTATATTATATTATCAATCTTTTAAAATTAAAAACATCAGATTTCAGTAGATTCAAATAGAATCTATAAACTATAATTCTATCTTAAAAAAAGAGAAAAAGAAAAAATATATATAAAACATATAATGGATAATCTTTTTAATTTTTTATTATCTTAAAATTAATATTAAGTATTTAAGTAAATATTTAAGTATTTAAATAAATTATTAAAGTATTAAGATGAAAAAAAATAAGATTATCTAATAAAAATAATTTTATCTAGAATTTCAATTTGTAATTGAATTTCTATATGATTACATATATAATCTTTGAAAAAAGTACTTAGTTATATATAAGTGAACAAGATATTGTTTGTTACAATTTTGTAGTAATTATTTGACACTCGTATTCTAAAAGCTTTTGGAGTACACTCTGGTATCTACTTTGCGCAGATCGATCCATGTGGGCGGAAACAACTGCGCGAGACGAAATACTTCGATCATTGAATTACTTATTTGAATTTCTTTGGATACTTTAAGCAAATGTAAATATACGTTTTATGTACAGTTAAATGTACGTAAAATATCCGATTTAAACGATTACGGCATCATAGAACATATATATATGTATATATCAATTGTTTCAATAAATTCTTATTATTTGAATCAATTATTCCTTGAAAATGATTATTATATTGAAAATATATATATTGAAATATATATATTTGAATGAAAATATATATATATGAAAATATATATATTGAAAATTATTATTATACTGAACTTATTCAACATCATTCTAAAACATTAAAAAATTGATAAAAGAATGAAGTTATATAAAATACAAAAAAATATTTTTTTTATGAATGATTCTAAAAAATAACTTTAAATATCATAGCATGATATTTATTCGTGATATTAATTTTAAAACTTTTTTACATTTTTGAACAGCATTATGCTTAATATTCTTATTATCAATTAAATTATTTTTCTTTGTTATTTAGCTCTTATATAAAATTGTTCATTTTTTGATTTATAACTCAAATCTTCATTCGAAAAATATTTATGTAAGAAGATAATCATAGCCAACAATCGCATATATAATTCAAGATATTATTATTTAAATATGTGTTGTCCACGTATTGTTTGGATGCACAATTTGGATTTTGGCTACGCGTCAATATAATGTTATATAGCTAGCAAAAATATTCGCCAAGTGTCGTAAGATACGATGCCTGCTTCGAATTCTTTGCTTTTAATAACATCGTCTACGATTCAAATTCGCGACATAATGAAAAAAAATAAATTATATAAAATACATATAATACATAAGTATAATATATATATTTTCAAAAAATTTAAAAGTTATAATTAAATATATCCATTTAAACAAATAATTCGTCATATATATGTTATCGTAGGTTGTAAGTAATTAAAAAATGTTAGCAAAATAGTAAAGAACAACATACATTTACAAACTACATCTCTTAATGTATTGCAAATTTGAAATATCGTATTTTTTTATTCTGTTAAATAAAAAAAAATATTGTGATTAAATTTGTAATCGTTATATTGAACATAAAAATCAAATTGTTGCTCTATGTATGTCTATTATGTAAAATTTTTTTAAATAGTTATTCTTTTTATTTTTTAGCAGTTAATTATTAAAGGCAAAATATTTTCTATATATTCTTCTATATTATTCTTTTAAATATTAATTCTTTTAATATTAATTCATTTTCATTAGATTTAAACATTGTGCATTATAGTCTAAATATTTTTAATATTGAATCACCAAAAACTAAATAGTTATAATAAATTCGATTGAAATTTTTTCAAAATTTAATTATACAAATATGTAATATATTTCATTATCAACTCTATTACTAATGATAAATATATTTTTATCATAATTTTAATTTAAATCTACAAGATGACAGTAATGAAATATTAAATATATGTCAAATTCAAGGACGAACAGCTGAGAGGTTCAAATTATCTACGCGTGTTATTTGGAGACAATATTTGACGTGTACCGGTATGTATAATGAATAGCTCCTAAACGGAAATAGACATACAGTAGTAATAGAAACAAACTAGAAATATTAATTTTTACAACTCACCTCTGTTTTAAACACGGGCACTACTCGTCCGAAAAGATACATTACATACAATAATGTAGTAATACATTTTGTTAAGTGATATTACGAATAATATGACGAGTAGTGACGATCAGTGACGAGCAATGACGACAATATCGTACTGCCACTTGTTCCACACTAAGCGCTGCAATCGACGTTTGCAGGTTTATCGATTAGGAAATAGTCAATATGATAACCGCTTTTATTTATATTTGATGTAAAAGAAAAAAAATTTCGCGTTTTTATTGTTTCGGATTCTTAAAAAATAATTTAAATTAAAAATCAAAACTTTAATATACAATTATAATAAATTTTTGTATTGGAACAGAATTGCAAAATAATTTTCAAAAACAAAACATAAGCATTAATATCTTTAAACTAATAAAGTTGATCGTGTACGACCACTAATGATGACAATATAAATTCTACTAATATTACAATTGCTATTACTTCCAACAAAGATTGTTTGGATTACAGCCAGACTTGCGCTTGCGTGGACGAATATCGTATACTACCCTGTCTATCGCGCGTGTCATGAAAATTTGACCTTTACCTATGATGCTCACGTTTTTCTTTTTACAACTGATAGTTCGATATCAATTTTGAACCTGTATAATATTTTTGTATGCATTTTTGTATATATATATATATATATATGCGTACGCAGAAAATATTATATCAAACTAAAAAAAATTATTACGGTTTATTTAAATCAATGAATTAAATTTCATTAATAAAATTTACCGATTTATAGATATATTTAATTATAAATATTATAATGATATTTATTATAATAATAACTATAATTGTATCAAAATTAAATTAATATATATAAAAAAATTTACAAAACGTCAAAACTAGATTTTATAAATTCTTATAAAATCATTTTTTCGTTCATATTAAATAATCTTTTTCATTTTTACTATTTATAATTTTTAATTTAAAACTTAGAGATATATGTAATGGATAAGATATATGTATAATGGATCATCAAAATTTCAATTAAATATCTAAATAATTTAAAGCTAAAATAAAAATTTCAAAGAAAATCGTTTTGAAACTCGAATAAATAATTACATATTGTTACGTAAGAACATTTCCATTGCAGATATTAAAAAACTATTGAATTATTAGTCTAAAATATCTTGAACATCTGTATATCTTGTAAAAAAGATGTAGAACATTTTTACATTTTGTTAGCATCTAAAATATTGTTATATTTAATTTATTTAATAATAATATAACAAAACCAAATGAAAAATAGATAAATAACATTGATATTTTTAGATTGATATTTTTTCAAAAAAAAATCAAATATAATATTGTTCTGAAATAAATTACATTTAGCTAAACTATTTTTACTTCTTTGTTTGAAGTCGGATACAAAATAAGAAATGAAAACAAATAAGAAATCCATGAAAGCAAAAAACCAGATATCTTTACATTTATTCAGAATCATTTAATAACAGAAAAATGACATGTCATTTTATTTCTTTCTTTTGAATAAAATTGTTGCTTAATCAATTACTTTCTGATTTCTGTTAATATCTTAAATTTTTCACTCATTCTTCAAGTTTTCTCTCTTCCTATTCGAGAATAAACAGAAGAGTATATATAATAAACAATTAATTATGTTTATTTCAGAACAATATAATAGTAATGTTAATGAATTATCAATGAAGTAGATTTAGTAGATAAAAATAAAAATTATTGATTAATTATTATAAAATATCTTTTATTATTTTTAATCATTTTATTATTATAAATAAAATAAAATATCTATATATTATTATAATATATTATAAAATAATATATTTATGAATTATTATATTATATATGTATATATATATATATATATATATATATGTATTACATAAATAAAAATAAAAATAATTATTAAATTTCTTTTATCATTATATTTATCAATGATTTTAAAATAAGCATTTAAAATATTTATGTAATTTAGTATTGTAATTTTGTTTGTATTATATTTAAATTTTGAGAATTAGATTAATATATATAATAAATTCTATAAATTCCATTTATATTATTTTAAATATGAAAATTTCAAATTATTATAAACTCGAAAATTAAATAACTTGAAGATCAAATTATCTTCTGAAATGGAATGTATTCCGTATTCAATATAAAATAGAATTTTATATTGAATATATTCAATATAATTACATTCATTTTATCTATATCGTCATAAATAAAAAGAAAAACATAAACATAAAAAATATTATAAATATATAAAATAAAGTTTTGCTTAATATAGAAATTATAATTAAGGATAAAATCAATTTACAATAATCAACATTATATAATATCATCAACAATTATATAATATTTAATATAATATTAATTATTATATTATATTAATTACATATTGTATTATAATCATATAAAATCAAAATCAAAATTTATTAATTATTATTCTACATATACATTTTTTTTTACTTTTATTTCATTAACAATGAACATTTTAAACAATTCCATATACAAATCTACATAAAATTAATTTATTCTCTCCAGGAAACATGTACATCATCTGTTCTATACCTTTGTATGCAAGTTGTTTCTGCCCATGGAGTATTTCCTTGGCTTTTATATTGATGTAATCCAGCAACAGCAATCATTACACCATTATCTATACAAAATCGTTCATCTGTAGCATAAAGTGTTGCATTTCTTTCCTTGCACATAATTTTCATCATATCTTGTAACTTTTCATTACATCCTACACCACCAACAATTAATACTTCTGATGATTTTATATGGGCCATCGCTCTTTCTATAATAATATTAAATGTATAATATTTACTTTATTGTATATAATATTTTATATAAATCATAAGTAATAAAAAAAACCTGTAATTTCTATAAGCATAGCAAATATTGTTTCTTGTAAAGAGAAACATAAATCCTCTGAAGTAAATTCTTTTGAATCAAGCCAAGAAGAAATATGTTCTTCTATATAACTTAAAATTCCAGAAAAAGATACATCCATTCCTTTTACTACATAAGGTAATGGAACTAATTTTTTTCCTCTGTATATATAATATTATTTTACATATAAAATATAATTAATTAAATTTATATAATTTTAATAGATTTAAATTTTATCATAATAAAAGAACTTACTTTTTTGCTAATTGTTCTATATTATAACCAGGACTAGGATCATTTGAAAGTTTTAACAATCTTGCAAAACGATCTAAACAATTCCCAACAGCAATATCTATTGTTTCTCCAAAAATACAATATTTCTGCCGAGAATATGCAATAATCTGTGTATTTCCACCAGAAACATAAAGAACAGTGGGATTTATACTTCCTGTTATCAATCTTCCCATTTCTATATGACCAATACAATGATTTACTGCTATTATTGGTTTATTATATATCTGAGCAATTGTTCTTGCTACTAATGCAGTAACTGTTAATGGTGCACCCATTCCTGGTCCTTTTGTATAACATATTATATCTACATCTTTCAATATTATTTTAGCTTCATCCAATGCTTTTTGTAGAATATTAAGTATATATTCTCTATGATGTTGTGCAGTTTCACGAGGTAAAAAGCCTTTTCAAAATAATCTTTAAAAGGTTTTATGTAATAATATTTTATATGTATTAATAAATAAGATATATGTAATATTTTTATATTCAAATTACATTTTATATTATAATTAAAAATAATCATTAAAGGTTAAGTTTACCTTCACCTGGTGGAGTAATATACGTATGCCGTACATTTGATAAAATATTCTGATTCTGAATAATTCCAATACCTAATTTATTTGCACTACCTTCGAATCCAATTGCAATTGTCATTTTTATATTTTTACGTTTAATTTTAAAAAATATAAAACAAATTTATATGATGAACAACCATTGGTAAATTAAGTAATTATCCAATAGAAAGTATAGATACATGCGCAATAGAATCATATTTATTTAACTTTACTTGATTTTCAATTATAATATATATTACATATAAAAAATAGTAAAAATAATCTTAATTTTTATAAAAATTATTTATTATAAATTATTTTGAAAAAAAAATTATTTATAAATAATGTATAAAATTTATGAATATTGAATTTGTGCAGCGACATCTGTTATTTATTTCGTTTGGAATGCACTCTTTGTATTTGGTGCGGCTCCACAAGGAAAGTCTTCTTAACAATCTTCATTCGTAAAACGTCACGCGGAAGTGATTCATCGATTCTCGTGCCAGAAAATGCAAGTTTGCAATTTGCCGCGGTGAGAAAAGTGAGTGTCGTTATCTCGAAAGATTCTTGAGTCCGGTGAATGTCGTGAAATTCCTCGAGTAGCGCTCACTAGGTGGGCAATTGATTTTCAAAGTGACCGTCGAGTGCGAACGAATGAACGCCTCTGACGCTTCGATACGAATAGCAGACAACGCTATCAAAGTTAGATCTATTTGAATACTGTCGAGTAAGAGTTTTGTGAAGCTACATTTTAAAAAATATAGTGCAAAGGTGTGTACCAGCAAATGGAAAAAGCGAGAAGAGCCGACCTTCGCTTTTAATGAAAGAAAGAAGCGAAGGAGGCTATACGAGTATATACCGGTTCCGGACACTCTTTTTCTTTTTCTTTATTTCCTCAAGCAATTTGAGGTAATCCGCGCTTCTCGAGTTCTTCGTTACGACACCAATAAGGTGTTACCCGGGTAATATCTGAAATGGTGTCGCGAAAGATACAGTTCCGCCGGTCGCGAAATCGCACAGTCGGGCCTTTACGTGACCTTGACGTACCCGTTACTCGAGCCACGAATTCCGCGCCGCGTTTCGGTGTGGCTATGAGACGTACGCGGCGAAATATTCTTCGATGCGTACCGGAAAGGTGATGTTCGAATGACATCCTTAATGATGTCAAAAAAATGCCAAAAAGCTTTACCGCAACGTTCGTTATATTTTTTTACTTGTGTGTACCATCGATATAACATTGACGAGTAATCTTATCGTGTATCGTAACCGGCTACGTGAGTGCCGCCGTCATGGCATTACCCGGGTAATGCCCGAGATAAACTTCACCCTATCCGCATTCGGTTCGGTAAAAAATACGAAAACTTGGACACGATTAAGTTCGGTTAACGCGCGCGCGACGCCTTTCGAAGGCGATCTCTGAATTTGGTTCGACTCATTGAAAGTCCACGCGACCAACATTTATGGATCGTGGATCGAAGCGTACTACAATTCTGGACATGCGGAGAGTGGCGATGGTAAGGTCTCGCGACGGGTGATGTCCAGTACCACATATGGATTTCGCGAATTTAAATTCTGAAAGAAAATGTTTTTGATCGGGAATACTAACTTTTCCACTGCTTGACCACTGCAGATGATACTCATTTGTGACATAGAATTTTTGACGTAGGCCAGTTGATCCAAAGGACGAATGGTACTGGTTCTTCTAGCGATCTCTCATGGCTCTTAATCCAACGTATTATCATCTTTATGGGCATTCTATCATGTATTGAAAATTAACGTGTTCACTGCTCTCGCAGGAGTTTGGATCATCAGCTTTTCGCTCCTCCTATATCTTTTCTAAGATTTCTGTCAGGTATGTATTAGTATAAATAGAAACTTTAAAAAATATTTATTCATATGTAAATATTTATTTTTAATTTTAAAATTAATAATTGTTTATATTTTGAATAACTGTGTCAAAAATAAAAGGAAGAAAATATGTAATTTTATAGATCATTAATATTTCATACATATTTTATATGACAGGAATGTCTCGAGACTATGATAGACGAAGAGGAGGTAGCGGTAGTGGTACCAGTTCTAGTAAATTGCGGATGGATACCAATATATCACAACCCAGACCACATGGTGAAAATTCAGGAAAACGAAGAGAATTAGATAGTGTAATGCGGAAAGCTCGTGAATCTCAATCAAGTTATTGGAATAAAAAACTTTTGGAGGTAGAGGAACGAGATCCAAATAGATGGAGACATAGTGGATATAAGGAATTATATGTTGGTGGCACAACAAGTGGAGAACCTAGCAGAGGACATCCAAGAAGTCCAAGAAGTCCAAGACCACGAAGCCCTCACATCCAAAGACCACGTAGTCCTCGAACTAGAAGTCCACGATCACCACGTGATAAATCACATACAAGAGGAAGACCTACACGTAGTCCAAGTACAGGAAGTACTTGTTCTGATCGTTCATGTAGTGTTTGTTCACCAAAAGAACGACGACGCATTGCTCAACCTTCTCGTTCGCGTTCAAGATCACTGACACCAGTTCGAGCCCGAACACATCAAAAAGAAGTAATACCATCAAGCTCACGAGTAATACCAACTCGAACTAGACCACGATCACCTCCTTTACCACGTCCATGTACACCACCGCCTACGCCACAGCCTCCACCACGTCATCAAAAAGACTATAAAATAATTAAAGAAAAAGAAACCAAAGTCCGGCGTAAAGAAAAACATCATACTAGAATTCCAGAAGATCCAAGAGTTCCAGACTCCATTCCATTGGTAAAACATATTTTGTTCAAATTACTTTGATTTTGAAATAGCATATATATTTCTAGTTTAATTTTTTAATTATTTTTTATTACATATTTTTTCTATACTTTCTTTCTATATTTCAATATATAACTATGAAACTTGTACAGATGCGTAAACCTGTAAAGGTAGAAAAAACTCATTCAAGTCATGGATCAACTCAAATGATTAGGCCTCCTCCTGAATCCTCACCTAGTGAAGATAGTGATAGTTCCTCTACAACATCACACGTGGGTCCACCTAGAATGACACTATCTGAACGGTATAATTTAATCAATAATTTTATAAAAATATAAAATAGATTTTAAAACTAAAATCATAATTAAAATTTGAAATAATAATTTGATAGTAATTATATTTTAAATTAATATAAAAATATAAAATTATATAATAATATAAAACTGTTTTAGATTTGGTAAAATGGCACAATGGAGTGTAGATCGCAGAGATATGGAAAATATGCGCATCACAAAAGATGGAGAAAATGCAATGAAAGTTGTAATAGAGGGTGAAGAAAGAATTGCAAGACTAGGATATGATTCTCCGCCACCAGGACATTATCCTGAATCACTTTTAGCACAAGGACCAAGAGGTCTAGAATGTTGGGATGATGTTCGCGTTAGATATGATTACTATAAAGCAAGAGGATATCTTCGAGATCTTACTTTAGATGATTATATAAAATGGGAAGAATGGTGGTATAAATATCAAGAATGGTTAGAAGCAGAACGTTTTTACGAACAATGGGCCTCTTCAAACCGTCCTTCTGGTGGAAATCGAAAAAGACGCGGGCGGCGTAATAACACTACTCATTGAAATTTCGTAAGCCTATTACAAATCACTCTCGATCATCATAGATATTAACATCATTAATAAAATGTACTGTAATATTTGTTGTGCTTAGAAAAGAGTGCGAGAAGTGTGTAAACGATCTATACAAACATACATACATTCATATAAAAAGTACGCACGGAAGCGTATTTGTGTATGTATATGTGTATTTTATATATATATATATATATATATAATACACACATACATACATTATATAAATATATATATTATAATAAAAGGTATGATTGCGCTGTAAAAACCTCATTTTCATCAGTTTATCAAGTAAAAGTTAATCTACAAAATATTCGTTTTTCATTTGATTACTTTATATGTAATATTTTATATTCATCAAGACATTTAGAAATAAGGATGACGTGTGTATCGATTAATAATAATATTAAAAAAAATGTACTTTTGTTTATATCTTCATTTTTTAATTTAGTTTTATTAAATAATTTTATTTATGGTAAATAATAATCTTATAAAATTGTTTTTTATTTGATAAAATTCTAAACTTAAATCAAAATAAACTTTTTAATGATATTCTAATATAAAGATAAATTAATTTTTATATTAAAAAGAAATTATATTCTATAATTAATTTTATTAACAAAAATAAGATTATATGAATGTTTTCTATATTTTTTCTTCATAATCTCATTTTTATTAATATAATTTCCAATGGATTTTTCTAAATATATTTAAAATTAAATGATAAATTGATAACAATAATTTATAAAATATATTAAAAATTATAAAATTATTTATTTAATATCTTCTTATTAAAAAAACATTTTTGAAATTATGTCTAATATTATATTTAACTTTTAATAATTTTTATCAATAATTAAGGAGTGATTAAATTTTTAATTATTTTAATTTTGTTATTTTATTTTTAAAAAGATTAAAATAATAATAAATTAATTAAAATTAATTAAAATAATTAATTTTATGTTATAATAAAATAAATTTATTATAAATTTAATGAAGAGCATATATAATCATATACACAAATTCGTGTAATAAATACTTAAATCAATTATTTTAAAAATTTATTTTGAAAACTTATTACAATTTGATATTTATTTGAAATTTATTTTTTTAATAAATAATAAAGGATCAACTTTCTTTGAAAATAAATTATATAATTTAAAAATTTTATTGTTAAAACAACTTTTAGTTGATAAATAAATTAAATCATTATTTTCATATGCAAACTATAAATAGTGATATATTTAGCAAAATTATTCAAAGGACAATCAATATAGTCAAGTCATGCCTATATTATTATATTCAAATTATTATACAGCTTAAAACAGAAATAGTAAATTAAGTTTATCTATTAAAATTAATACAAAATCTAGAATTATAGAATTATAAAATTAATATTAATTACTATTTTTATTGATCACAAATTTTTTGCTGAATTATCTGCCAAATAATATTTTTAATATTATCAAATCAAAAACAAAAAGAGAAAAAATTTATTTATGATTCATGATTCAATTAGATCGATTTGGTTTTAATTTTTAAAAAATTATAAAATCATATTTGTAATAGAAAAATTACAAAACATTAAAGTAAACTAGTTCAATATAAAATGGCTGAGATTTGTAAAAATTAATCATATTTAATTTTCTATTTACAAAATATTTTCATTTTATGAAATAAATATAAAACCAACAATAAAAGAAAGGTTTTTGAATTTATTAAATGTTGCATAAAATCTCACTATCCAGAATAAAGAAAAATATTAAAAAAAGATATATATTTGATTTATTATTACCATATTATCACTTATTTTTATTGAAATTTATCTAAATTAAAAAAACACGAGCATCAATCTCAAAGTCTAAATCAAATGAATCTTGATACATGAAATAATATTGAAACTGACAGATACATATATATATTAATTTATTGAGCATTTTTAAGCATTTGATGTAAGTTACAATTTTTTCATTCAATTTGATTTTTTTTTCTTTTTTTTTTTTTTTTAAGAAATCATAATTTTCTTTTTTTTTTCTTTAAATAATTCTTTAAATTTTTTATATTATATTACATTATATTATATTAGTTTATAATAAAAATCTTTTTTTATATCATTACTGACATTGTGAATTTTTTATAATTAATTTATAAAAATCTTATATAATCTTAATTTCATATCAATAAATTTATATTGACTTCTGAATTCTTTATATGTAAATTTTATATATAAAACACAAATATAATAAACATGAAAATATATTTAAATTTTTATGTATTATTTTTTCTATTTTATATATATTATATATAAAAATCTTTGTGAAAATTATATATAAAAAAGAATTGAATACAAGATAAGATATTTCTCTTAGTAAAAGGTCAAAAGTTTATCAATATAAAATATTCATAATAAGAAAGAAGAATACGTAGTGAAACAGTTTCAATCAACTAATAAATGTATTCAAACTAAAATAATGGCATCACAAAAAACTATAAGAAAAATAATATCATCCCCATTATGTCCAAAACCTGTTGGGCCATATAAGTAAGCAATAATTATTTTAATAAATTATAATATTTTTCATCTTAGATTAAACATTAAATTTTTTTAATGTAATGAAACAAAAATTTAATTAATTTTTATTATGTAAACATTTAATTACTATAAATAATTTTTTAATAGCCAAGCTATACTTGTAAATCATACTTTGTATTTGTCTGGAATTCTTGGTATTGATGTTAAAACTGAAAAACTTGTTAGTGGAGGTACTGTTGCAGAAACTCGTCAAGCTCTTCTAAATATGGGACATATTTTAAAGGAAGCTGGATCTAATTACAATAAAGGTTATATATTCATTTGAAAATTCATTTTTCAATTTTTTCTTTAGTTATGAACTAATTAAAAAAGCTATATATCATGTTTTATATTATATTTATATATAAATATAGATTAAATATTTCAAATAATGATAATAGTTAATTTTTTATGTTTACTTACAGTTATTAAAACAACAATTTTCTTACAAGATATTAATGATTTCACTGATGTAAATGAAGTTTACAAAGAATGTGAGATTTACATATATACATATAAATATATTAATTTTTATGTTATTAATTTATTTATAAACAAATTTATATACACTTTTTTTTTTTTTTTTTAGTTTTCAAGGAAAATTATCCAGCTAGGTCTACATTTCAAGTTGGAAAATTACCAATGGTATGAAGTGAATATGTTTTATATATGTACATATTTTAAAATCTTAAGTATTAAAATTAAATGCAAAATATTATTATAGGCAGCACAACTTGAAATTGAAGCTATTGCTATTACTGGTGAAGTAGAAACAATTTGAATATTATGAATATTATATATTTAATTAAAAAAAATAATATTAATATTATTATATATTTTATATATTAATAAAATATATTTATCTTTGATTATTCAAATTGTTATTACATTTTGGAATTGCCTACATTTTTCTACATAATAGTTTCATATATATTAATTTTATTGATTATTTATAATTATTTCACTTTAAATATTTATATTTATGAAATAAATTTGTATACATATTTAATTATAATAAAATATTTATTATTTTTTTTTTATTTAATAACTATTCACTTCTTTATTATATATATTATAATATTAAATGAACATTTATAATCATTTAAATTCATTTAAAATTATATATAAACATTCAGATGATTTTTTTCTAAAAATTGTGTAAAATGATTAAAATTCATATGCACATAATTCAATTTTTCAGTTTTTTTATTTTATATGTGATAAAAATATAATAAAATTTTTAATTCAATAAAATAATAATAATTAATTCAATAATATAATAAAATTTTTAATTCAATAAAATTTTTAGTCAATAAACTAAAAAAAAATTTGTCATCTATATAAAATTATTTATATATTATTATTATATTATTTATATTTATATATATTGAATATAGCTGGATTTTACTAAATTTTCGAAAAATTTAGAAATTATTTTTGATTATTTGATATTATTATCTTGTAAAACTTTTTTTAGATTTTTTTTATTTTTAATATTATGTATCTTATTTATAATTTTTATTTTTTTTTATATAAATTCATTTTATATATATTAATATCAGGATATAGAGATAAAAGCATTTAAAGAATTTTAAGACAGTTATACAATAGTCAATTCTTAACTACATATGAATACATTTAGGATCATTTCAGCAACAAAATTAAAAATTGTTCAAAATAAATATTTTTTCGCACTGATTTTTAGATTATTTTTCAATATATTTTTATTATGTCATTAATAAATTAATAAATACTAAATTTTCAAAATTTTAAAATTTTCAACAATTTTAATTATTTCAATTCGATTTTTCTATTCAATTTTTATTCTTTTTTTTTTATAAATAAATAAAATATAATAATAATAATAATAATTATTATTATTATTATTATTATTATATATATAATATAAAATATAATAATAAAAGCAAGAAATAACATATTTACATATGAAATACATATAGAGATACATATAGAGAAACAAGAGATACATAGATATCTCACAGAAGAACAGAAATATTTATTTATTAAAATTTACATATATATTTTATTGGAGTTGAAAAGATTAAAATAAGTATAACTATGAACTATAACTATAAATGAAAAAATTAAGTAATAATTATTTTATATCATATTTTATTTAATTCAAAAAAATTCAAATAATATTTTGTTTTATTAAATTCATTTAACTAATTGAATTTAACAATTAACACAAAAATTGCTAAATTTATTGAGATAAAAAACAAGTGGAAAACTATAGAATATAGAAAGTAATAATATATATGAATATATCTTAAATTTATTTAACAAAAGAATCATTGAATATAATAATGATTAAAATTTATTCTAAGAAAAACAAATTTAAATTCACAAATTTAACAATAAGATACTATGAATTTTTTATGTAATAAAATATTATTGGAATATATTATATTTTTTAAATTAAGAAAGAAAATAAAAAATAAAAAGTGAATATCTAACAAATAATCTGTAAAAGAACAAGGTAATTCATATATAAATGAATAAAAATAAATGAAAATCTGTGAACATTAATGAATTAATCTTAGATCATATATAAGTACTTATAAATACAATTTATGTATAAAAATCCACAGTTAAATTGAAATAAAGATAATAGGAAAAATATAATGGCTAATTATATTTATGATTAAAAGATAATTTAAAATGATATTGTATTAGATATATACTACAAGTAGAACATAATTTTATTAGTTCTTATTAGCTAATTTTATTAATTATTATTAGAAAGAATTTATAGTTTGAAAAGTATAAGTTCAAAAGTTTGAATGTATATTTTTTTGAAAATTATAATAATTCGGATTGCTGTAAATTCATAATTTTCGAAATATTAACAAAAATTATTGATATTAGTTTATATATGATTTAGATTATAGAATTTTCTATACATTTATATCGTTCAGCGTTCGTATCGTAACAGCATTTGCGTTAGTATGCACCATTTATTTATTATAAAATTTTTATAAACATTATGATGAATAACATCCAAAATATATAACGAATGAACTAATATTATCATATCATTATTATCAATATCTATCTATAATAAACTTGGGCATTACACAGATCCTTTTTTTGTAGAATACAAAAATATACAACACAAATCGAAATTATATAATAAATATTTATATAATATATAATGTGATATAAAATATCAAATATGTAAAACTGATACCACTATCATTGTAATTTCGGTCATTGTAATTTTGATCATTATAATTTTAGTTGTACGAAAGTTTTTTTATTTATTTTATTTTTTACTCCGCAGATCCGAAAAAATCCGATAGAATGTCCAAACTTTTTAGAATAGATACTAACATTGATAATATTAGCTTACCATTATCAGAATTGTTGAATGAAGATAATATATTAACGTGATGCGATGCTTTACTTTGACTTGGAGAAAGGAATACATCTAGTGATGTATTCATAATGTATCTGTCTATAGTACTAGCAATGGGATAATATGATATGATATATTCTTTTTATGTGGAAATTTATTAAACAGAAATTGAGTCATTTTTATAATAAAAAAGTGTATAGGATATTGCTTCCGTTCGATAATTCTGCTGATTATATATTTTAAATGTTATTATATATATTAAATGTTATTTTAAATATATATATATTTAAAATTTTAAATGTTAAATATATTAAATGATTATTAGAATATGTTAGGATATATTATAAAAACAATATAAGCGACGATTCTAATGATATTATATAATGATATACATAAGATATTATATAAACATACATAAGTAAAATTCAATGTAATAGCAACAATTTTAATTGATATCAAGAAAACTATAAATTAACAACAAATGAAATAATGTTTATATTTATATTTCATATTTGGCTGTGAATTATATTTTAATAATTATTAATAATAATAAAATATGTTATATGTTTATATAAAGAATTTTAAAAACAATAAAATAAAAGTGATGTTCTAAGATCTAAATAAAAAATATATTTTGCTAAATTGAAAAATTTTACATTCATTGCAATATATTATCTAGATATCCATTATTCTTATTTATTTTTTTTAATTAAAATATATTATAAGAAAATAATTATAAATTGAATATTATCAGTATTTTAATTAAAATTTAATTTTTTTTTAAATTATAATTTTCAAGATATATGTCATGAAACGAAATGAAATGCATTAAAAAGTAAAATAAAAGTTAAAGATAATATAATAAAATATATATTTTAGACATAATAATGATTGCATTTCGTAAATATTTATGTACTATTATTTTGAAAGTAAAAAATTTTCCATTACATATCTTCATATGATATCATATAGATGATTCTTGCCAATTATTATAGTCATGTATGAATATATATGATTTTGAAAATAATACAGGCAAATATATATGTAACAATTCTAATACCAATATCTTAAACTAATAACTGAAATTGCAATTTATTACAATATTTATAAATTATTTAGCAAATTTATGTTATTTATATTAATTATTATATTAAAATATTTTATTTCGTTAGTATCAATTTTTATTAAAAATAATAGATGTAATATACTATAAAATATATTAGAAATTTAGTAAATTTAATTTTTATTACTATATAGTTAAATTTATTATAAAATTAATTTGTTAAAATTATAAATTTATTTGTTAAATAATTAAGTTATAATAAATTTAAGTAAAGTATTTGTTTCATAATTTAAAAATGTAAGCAATAATAAATTTATTATTCAAAACTACTAACGAGAGAATTTCATTCTCTTTAGAAATTATCAGACTTCTCTATAAATAATTTTAAACAAAAATAACTAAAAGTAACTAGTGAAATGCTCAATAGATTAAACGAACGTAAAACTTTACTTTAAATTATATAGTTCATGTTACGTTGTTCCTAAATATATATCTGAATAACCTTCTTTTGAACGTAGCTTTGCCACGTGTATGTATCGTTCTTAGATTTTAAAATAAAGATAAAAATCGTATTTCATCAAATATTTAGTTATTACTTTTTATGTATTTATAATCAAAATGCCTCCTAAATTTGATCCTAATGAAATTAAGAAAGGTATATTTTTAATTTTTTATATAATTTTCTATATAATGTTAAAAAAAAACAAAATTTCTTAATGTGTACATTTATTTCAATAGTTTATTTGCGATGCGTTGGAGGTGAAGTAGGAGCAACTTCATCTTTAGCTCCGAAAATTGGCCCTCTTGGTTTGGTGAGTTTATATTTTATAAGTATATATTATTTAAAAATGATACATATTTTTTTTGATATACATATTTACATATATATACATATATACATATTTTTTTTAATATTTGACTCAACATAAAATATTTATAAAATGTTTTATTTTTATAGTCTCCAAAAAAAGTTGGTGATGATATTGCTAAAGCTACCAGTGATTGGAAGGGTTTAAAAATTACTGTACAATTGACAATTCAGAACAGACAAGCTACAATTTCAGTAGTTCCATCTGCTGCATCATTAATTATTAAATCATTGAAAGAACCTCCAAGAGATCGCAAAAGGCAGAAAAATATCAAGCACAATGGAAATTTATCATTTGATGATATTGTTTCTATTGCTCGATCAATGAGACCAAGATCTATGTCAAAATATCTTAGTGGTACTGTTAAGGAAATATTAGGAACTTGTCAATCAGTTGGATGTACAGTTGAAGGTAGACCACCACGAGATCTCATTGAAGAGATTAATGGTGGAAAACTTCAAGTACCAGATGAGTAATATGGTAAGTTAAAGCTCTCGGCTAATATTTTCAGCATTATTTCTTTTTATGAATTTAATTAATTTATTGTATTGTCAAAATGATAAAAAAGTAATTCTGTGATGAAAATATATGCTTTGAGCTTTTGGTAGGGGTTAGAATCCCATCCACCTGATTAGCTGTAAATCTGCAAGCAATCAAGGATATTGCTACTGAGGAGAAAACCTCAATAAAAAATCGTTATTTAAAACATTGATTTTTATGTATATTCATTTAGAAATAATACACTAAAAAAAGACATATGTTATTATATTAATAATAACTTTCTTCTTTTCATTTAAACATTCGATAAACAAAATAAAATATATTGACCAAAAGACCAAAAGATTAATTGAATTATTTAAATTGAGTGAATAATCATATTTATAATATCATATATATAAATTTTTGATAATAAAGTGCTAAATTCATTATAAAATATTTAAATAATTTTATTTTTTAATAAAATATATATAATATATGCATATTAAAATATATTAAACTGAAATAACTGATAGCAATTTGGACAAATTAGGCAAAATATAATAAATTTGATAGTCAAAATTTTAATATACAATATATAATATTCTACATGTATTATTATATATATAATATTTTAATTGTAAAAATTTTACATTTTTACTGTTTCAGATTTTTCATAAGGAGTAAAAATAAAACATTTTTAATATTAAAGTGTTATACTTTTATGTATATTCCCTTCTTTTAACAAATTAAAAAATTAAAATTATTTAATCATGAAAAATGAATATTTAATTTTATATAATTTTATATTAATATTATAATTTATAATATTATATTTATATTAATATTATATCTAATATAATATAATATAATATTGTTATTAAATATTAACTAAATTAGTTTTTTAAATATATTAATAATAGTATTATATAATTAATGTATAATTATATAGTTTTATTTGTAAATCATATATTAGAAATAATTCTAATTCTTGTGTTGTGTTTAAAAGATTAATATTTATTTTTATTTATAAAATTTCATAGTTTATCATCATATCAAGTCTAATATTTTTCTTTTATAAATTATTTTTTTTAACATTTTTATTGCATAAATTAGAATTATATGAAATTATATAAGAAAATTTTAAAACTTATTAACTAATGCAGTTACTTGATTGTATTATTAAAATAGATATATTTAATTTATAAAATTAATATACAAAATTGTAAATATAATTAATTTTCTTATATAAAAATTATTCTATCATATATAAGAAAATATTAAAGATATTCTACATATTCAATTAGTATATTAAGTGTATTTATTTTTAATAAATTTTTGAAGATATATTATAAAAACAAAATTATTTATATATTTTTTTATATATGTTTTAATAAAATTAATTGAATGAAAATAATAATGGAAAAAAATTTAATATCATGTTTTCATAATAAAATTAACAATTTATTCTCCTAAGACATATCCTCGTCCCCAATTATGACCACCAAATGTATTTCTAGTATGTTGAGTCTGCGATCTTTGTATAGGTACAGATCCAAACCATCTAATATTACCTCTTTGAGGTGGAAAATAAAATTCAAGAATTTTTGGAGTATTCAAAAGCTCAAGTCCACCAAGTTCTTGAGGATATTTAAATTTTAAAAATACATAAAGATGTCCCACTAAAATACCAAAAAGTTCCATCATACCACCTCCAGATATAATAAGATTAAACGCAAACAATACCCATGGGAAATATATTGCTTTAAATGATGTACCTGTTATAGAAACATAAAATTAATAGATTAAATTAAAAATAAAAAAATATTCAAATTTAATAGTTTTATTTATAAAAAGATATATTTACCAAACCAGAAATTAACAGTAGCATCTTTATTTAATTGACACCAAACATATAATATGCTAAGTACCATAGGATCCATAAGAAAATGAAATTCACCAATAAGTCCTATAATAACGCAGCACATCCAATTAAATAAGAGTAAAAAACAATAATCTGCTGGCCTTCCATCATATTCTCCACGTTCTAACCTCAGCGAATAATTATATAAGAAATAACAATTAATCAAAAAATGAAAGCCTGTACTTGGATTAAGAGGATAGAAAAAAACACTGGTTGCTGCTCTCCAAATTTCAAAATTGTTTATGAAGCGGTCATTTATAAGTATTAGTGAGGTCGGATTTATTAGTCCGAATCTTCCTACTAATGTACAAACTACTGTACATAGTAGCCAATATCTTGTGAAAATTGGTAAAGAATTAAACCAATTTCTCACATCCGACATTTTTGTAACTCTTATATTAATACTACAATTAATATATTATTTATGCACATAAATAAGTACAATTCACTGACAATGTATGACGTGTATTATTTAGTGACTATGTAGATTAGGTTAGAACACAATACATAAAAATAACAAATATGGTGTTGTAAAATATATTCTATTCTATTTTTTATATATTCTATTATATTTTTTTCTTTAAATATTTTTATAATAATATTTAAAAATGAAACAATATAACAAAAAACATCAAAAGATATTTTAATAAAAAATAAATATATAAAAAATCGTACAAAGAAAATTTTATATAATTTTTAATATTTCTACATTAATATATATAATTGTATATAACTAATTATGATATATCCTTAATTAAAAATTGATTTAAAAAAACATTTTATTTCCTATTATTTGTGAATTTATAAATAACATATATATATATATATATATATATATACACATTATAATACATATATATTAATATATTTCGCGATTATCACAAAAATCTTTTTATGTTATTATTTAAATTCTAATAAATTCTAATAAAAATTTCTTTTATGAAATTCTGATTTTTTATTAAAAATTATATTTAGAAATAATTGCCATAGCTAAAAAGTACTTAATGTAAACATAGAAAAAATATATTTTTACATTTTCTGACACAAAATATTTTTAAATTCTATTAAATTATAATTATGGAATTATCAAAATTCTATATCATAAATAATATATAAATAGATTATACAAAATTGTTTTATTAATATAACATTTCTTCAGAGATCAATAACAAAATAAACAACGATTATAAGATGTACATATATTGATGTAATTTATAAATAGCAGTGCATGAAAAATATATTACTTACATGAAATAATTATATGTTTTGATTTGCATTATCCCTTTTCTTGATAATATCATATAACATTTTATAATATTTAAAATAATTACAAATTTTATTTTGTTTCATTACAAAGTATAATGTAAACCATTTGTTTTATATTTTAAATACATAATAATAATTAAATTCTCATTTTAATATATCATAAATGCAAAAATGTGAAAATTTTTTGTTAAAGAATTATCATAAATGTCAAACCATACTTCCTCTTTTATTTACACATGATAGTCAGACACACACACAGGCACACGCATATATTAATATCAGTCATCAGTTCTTTTAACTTTTCGTTGCCTAGGGCTTTGTCTAGGAGTTCTAGGAGATTTATCTATAAAAAAAACATTTTTAAAAAAAAATATGTTATTTTAAATTTAATTTTTCAAATATATAATACTTACTAATTCTATTTAATGTTTCTTTTGGTAACCAATCATAATCTACATTATTAGGATTGGAAGTACCCATTTCAACAGGTGTTTTACGAGTACTAGAAGATCGAGATTTACGGCCAAGAGATGAAAGAAGTTGTTGCCCTCCTACAAGGGTTAATATTACACATGCTGCCAGAAAGACATATAAGAAAATTGTTTCTCCATCAAGACCATCATCCAATTCTATTATTTGCACAGTTTCATTGTAGACAGCTTCATTGAAACTAATACCATTCTGTAAAATTATAGATTCAGTAATTTTTTGAACAAATATTTTTGATAATAAATATATATTATAATTATATTATATTATAATATTACATACAGCATCTCTATAATTCAAATTAATATTAAAGCCAAAAGGCCTTCCAGCAAGATTTTCTGATGGAATAAATGAATATGCTAATGTTGCTTCGTGTTTTGGTTTTACAATCTTGTTGTATATAACAGTTGAAAAATTTTGAATATAAAAATTAAAATTCATTGCATAACGAAAAGAGGCATCTACAGATTCAAGAACAAAATCAGATTCTCCTTTATTGGTGAAACCAACAAGAAATTCAACTAAATTTCCAGCTGGTAATTCTAAAAAAGTAAATGAAATATTAACTTCTAATTTTATAAATAAAAAAATATACTCTGATTGATATGATTTCAAAAGATTTATATATATACCTAATGTTGATAATCCATTGTAAACTGGTTTAGTAAATAATATAGTTGTATCTGCATCAGATGAAGCAGTAGTTATTTCATCTTCTGGTTCTTCATCTGTTATTATAGAATTATCTTCTCCTTCAATATCTACAATATCATCTATATTTTCATCTTCTTGAGTATAAACTATAATGAAAAATATGCATTCGTTGTATAATTATTTATATACAATTGTTTATACAAATTGTATAAACAAATATAAATATAAATTTAAACATTAATATAATCAATATAATTATAAAAAAATATATTACAAAATATGTTTATATATGTTTATATGTATAATGTTTATATATAAATTTATTATGAAAAATATTACTTTAAATTTATTAATTGATATTAAAAAAATTGTGCTAATTGTATGTTTAATATAAATTACATATAGAAGAAAAAAATAAAAACGAAAAAAAATATAATTTTTCCATATGTTTTTCAAATATGTTACAATGTTTTAAATATAAATTGTAAAATAAATATTAATTAACATTTCATTATTATTTATTACCTCTATTCATTGTAAAAGTAATTGTTGAAATGAAAACTAATAAAAAAATGTTAAACTTCTTCATTTCGTTCCGTTGTTCTAAAATTAATTTTTCTGTTATAAAAATCGATTTATCCCAGTTCTTGAACACTCACTTCAAAGCAACATTCAACTACGCTGCTTCAAAATAACAGTACCGGCTACCATCTCTGCAACGTGGAAGGACAGCAACGCAATCGTCAATCCTACAACGTGGAACATTAACGTAACGTTGGCATTAAGTAAAGAATATCAAACGTCAAAAATGATTTTGTCTTACCAACATGATAAATTTAATTACTAATTGCTCTTTTAAAATATTATATGATTTTCTATAGTGGAAATTTAAACGCGCCACATATGAATTCTACAACAAGATATATGAAACAATGAATATAGTAGTTTAATAGGATTTATTAAAAATTGTCATTATTATTTATATATTTTAATTTATTAAATAAACATTTATTTTTATCTAGAAGAGAAAATATAGTTGAGATATAAAATATTTATTAAAAAAAAAGTAAATAAAACAATATGAAATATCAATTAAATTATATAAAATTATTAATTTAAATTTATTATTAACAAAGCATATTAACATCATATGAATATCAAATATAAAAATATTATGAATATAAAAAATTTTAAAAATTGTTATTTAAAATCGTGTGAGTTTGAATGAATTTTATTTTAATTAGTATTTAAATTTTAATTATAACCATGAGTAGTAGTTTAGTTTTTCTCAAGGATAACAATAATTATAATTTTCGAGCTACACAACGATGTATATATGACGTCATTTTCTTTTCTTTATAGTAGAGAATTCTTCCAGCAATTTTGTTTAATAACCTTAAAATTACTATTTTTATGCAGTTTCTAGAGATTCATAATACTATTTATTATTTATTTAGTCTATTATTCTATTATTTATTTGTATTTATTTTATCTCTACTTTAACTCAAAAAAACTTTTAATTTTCCAAGTATCTTAAAGTATGGAACAATGATGTTTAAAAAAATTTTAACATTATGTACATCAAGTGGTTCGCCTTTAACAACGTGTAGGTTTTAATTATTATAATTAAATTTATAAATTTATGATTTTATATTTGTTTTATAAAATAATATATTTTAAAATATATTTTATTTTCACATAATTTCATGAAATCATTTGAAGAAAAATACCTTTTACATAGATATTTCATCAACATCAAAGGTTATATCTCGAACTCTTTCGGAACAAGATATAGATGTTTTGGAAAAATGGGATTTATTAAGTGCTGTTTGTTTGGAACGTCATCCAATAATTACAAAACCGATGTTAGATATAGAAGCAAGATATCAAAAAATGTTACAATATATAGAATTTGAAAATAGTATGATATCTGATTTTGAAATGCAAAAACAGAAGGAAAAAAATAAAAAAAAATTATCTGCATCTGAGAGTATGACTTCTGCTCAAACAATGCAAGACTTTGAAGATTTTTGGGAAGAAGAACTTACTAAGTTTAAATTTGCATCAAGAATTAATGGTATGAGTTTTAATGATTTTAAATAATTTAATCATATTTCTTATATCTAACTTACTTAAATTATAGAAAATGAAGAGGACAATACCATTGTATCATTGAAACGAAAATTAGATAAAAATTTAGTATTATTAGTAGAACAAAAAATTGGTACTTCTAACTTTTGGATTCCTCCACAAAGTAAAAGAAAACATGGAGAAAGTATGATACAAGTAAGAACTATATGTATTTTATTTATTTTTTCTTTTTTCTCTTATAATATAATTACCAATATTTATTTGTTATTTCAGACTGCACATAGAACATTACAAGAACTATGTGGAAATAACATAAAAGTAAAATTTTATGGCAATGCACCAATTGGATTTTATCAATATAAATATCCTAAAAATATACAGGAAAAAGGTCAAAATGGGGCAAAAATTTTCTATTTCTTAGCAAAATATATAAGTGGAGATATTTCTTCTAATGTAAGACATTGTTGGTTAGATAGAAAAGAACTTAAAAAAACCACACATCCTGATGTTTATAAAAGTTTGTCTAAATTCTTATTACCTGATTAAATCATTATAAAATATAAAATACAAAGTTTTAGAATATATATATAGAATGTGTAGAATTATCAATTATGTATTTCTCTTTATACAATAAATGAAATATTTAAATGATTTTTAATTTTGTAATATTGAAATCTTCTTTTTTATATAAGTGCATTTTAAACACAATTAAAAATATAAGAAATAGAAAAATAGATATAATAGATAACAAATTTAATAAATAAATAAATATTTATTTTTTTGAAACAGAAATTTAAAAATATATAAATCAGAAAAAATATTACAATTTTCCACATCTTTTTCTTCCTGTATATTTTGAGTCTTCTCGTACTTTCTTTCCTTGTTTTCGACGTCTTTCTTTCTTTTCCATAATCCAATTTCTGCTATTTTTTAAAGATTTATTTTTGGTCTTTTTTATTTGTTCTCTAAAAAAATAAGAATTATAAGCAAGACTAAAATAAAAAAAAAGAAAAAAATGGATAAGATTTCATTTAACATGAATTAAAGCAATTTAGAACTTAACCTTCTAGATATATAAGATACAACTGACTCAGCATCATTAACACCTAAAGCTGGTGGAAGAATAGAAAATCCATTTATCATTAATACCAGGAAATATTTTTTTGCTTTGGTACTATTTGGAAAATCAACAACTACACCCCCATAAAAACCTGCTTTTGTTGCTTGTGTTGTAATTAATTCAATTTGTTCGCTATTTTCAGGATAAAATTGAAACACAGCTCTAGCTGATCTTGATAAGCATGAAAATAATGTAGAGAAAAATTTGTATAATCGTTTTGAAGGATTATGAGTACTTTTATCTGCGTTACATAACCATTGTAATGCAGAAATGCTTATTGCTCCATCAAAACTTCCTGCTTTAAATGGCATTCCTTGACCCATATCTCCTAAAATTAAATCTCCATCCACTTCTCTTTCTAAAGCTATTTCTATAAAATATTTGTATTAAAAATAATTAAAGTTATATGAAATATAATTTATTAAAACATATTCTACATATACTTGCCAAGCATTGCATGAGATATATCAATTCCTATCCATATATGTCCATATTTCTCAATTACATTGCCACTTAATCCTGAACCACAACCAATATCTAAGAGTAAAATACTTTTATCATGTGGTAGTAAAAGAAGTTCTAGAGCACGTTTACACATTTGCTCTTGTATATCTATCATGCGAGAACTATAAAAAGTAAATTTATATTTGTTTAAAATAGAATATAAAAAGATATAATTATGAAAAAAAGTATTAAAAATCTTACTTTTGAGTATATTTTCGAGCTTCGGATTCATCGTAAAACTACAATAAAAATAAAACACTTTCACAAAATTCATAACATAACCAATTTAAAATTTATTCTTACCAATTCAGGTGGAGCTAAATGTTCTGGACGTTTCGACATTTTATCTTTATTATAATAAGTATAGATCAGATTTTAATTAAAACATATGCAGAATTGCTGAAGAATTATTTATTATTATTATAGTTATGTCGATATCAACAACTTCAATTCAGCAAGAATTTCCACTGGAAATAATTGGTGAAAATTAGAAAGCGGGGAGAAGAAATAATGAGAAATATCCAGTTGTTAAACATAGACTATATGATATTCCTATTACCAACTAAATATAATTTAATTTTTCTGTTATGAATTTCAAAACGAAGAAGATATATAGTGACTTATTATCTTCATTGCTATGATACATTAATGCTTTTCATAAAAACTTGTTGCAACTTTGCAAGCCTTTTTTATTGGAATTTTTGAATTATATAATTTATAATACATTGAATTTATTTTAATTTTGCTGTTTTCTAATTTCAGTTTCAAAATGAATAATAGGGATTTTAAAAATTTGGAAAATAAATATTTGATATTTTTGTTAATATAATTTAAAATTTATAATAATAGTAATAAATATAGATAATAATGATAGATAAAACAAGTGTTTTGAATATTGAAGATAAAAACAATTAATATTTATTATATTTAATTACCCATTTATAAGTTTTAAAATTTGTTTTGAAATTATAAATATTTGCAGATTTTTACAAATGCTTTTAAAAAGCAATATAAAAGTAATATAAAAGCAATATAAAAGTAAAAAAATTGTTGTCTGTTTTTTGAATATTTTATATTTTTAATTTTGTTTTGATTGTTGAATAATAATTTTTTTATGTAATAAATGACTTATATAAAAATAATATGAATAATAAAGAAAATCTATTTTCTTTAAAATCTATTGTTATTAGTTTCAAAAAATTCCATAAAAAAAAGTATGGATAAATTCAGTTGAAAATTTTGAAAAATAAATATAAAAATAAAATTTTATATTAATATTCAAAAATTTTATTATCATAATTTATATTCATTAAATTTTATTATTATTAGTGAAAATATTAAAAAATTATTGTTCAATGAGATTATTCAATTTTCATATTCATTACAGTTTTTAATAGCAAAAATAGCTTTGGATAGGACTAAACTTACTAGAATATATTATATAAGCTTATTAAAATATATTAATTAAATATAAAACAAAATTTTATAGAGAAATAGGCTTGAATAAATGATAAATGTTGCTGATAAATTTGATAAAAAAATTGATAAATTTTATTTTTTCGGAATTAAAAAAAAATTGTTACAATTAAGAATAAATAAATTTTGATATTAATATAATTGAAAATCTTAAAAAGAAATAGATTTTACGTTTAATATTACCACATTCCAACGCAAAGATTCCAATGCAATAGAAATATATTTTTCAATCATAATATAAATAAAAATAAAATTTAGAAATAAATTAAAAACAAAAACAATAAATATAATTATAAGACTATCAATTTCAAAAATAAAAACTGTCACACAAAAAAAAATAAAAATGTTAGAATCTTATTATTTAATTTTAACATATATAAAAAACAAATAATATCAAAAAGATTAATTGGTATTTTATTTTCTAAAGCAAATTACACAAAACAAAATGATTATTAAAAAACAAATTTATAAATCGTATATATTATATATTATTATATTGCAAATTTTTTTATACTTGTATTTATTTATATATTTACGTTTTATATTTATTTATATTAAAGTTTTCTATTATATATTATTTTATATTATATTATGTGTATTTTTATAACAAATATTTTTATTTCTTTATTATTTTGTTTTTTCTTTTATATTTGATCAATATTACATATATTTTGGTTCATTTCATTCATTCAATAAAAACATATTTTTAAAATGTCTCTAAGTATTATATTATATTATTTTATATTAAATCTATAGCCATAGTGAGATTTCGTATCATTTTCATCAAGTATCACATCATATTATATAATTATCTAATCTAGTAATGAAAATAATGTTATATCATTATTTTCTTCGTACAGAAATTGTTGAAAAAGAATTGAGTTTAGTACTATATTATAATACTACTATTTAGTAATATTGAAAGTGAAGAATTCGTATTTGATAATTTTAAATTAATATATTAACTTCTATATTGTGATAATATAAAATATTGTATACAGTTATTTGACAATAATGCGATATTTACTTTTTTTTAAAACACAAAAGTCATTAGTGTCATAAGATCTATTCTACTTTTTTCTTAAATCTGATAATGCCAGTTGCACTTTCTAGTCCCTATTTAATTAGTTTCAGTCAGATTTTATATATTTAAAATACAGACTTATAATGATTCGAGAAATTGTAAACATAAGTTGGTGTCCTTGATGTGCTAATCCATTTTGTTTCATTGAAATGCGCGCATATTCAAAATAAAATTTTGAATTTTCGCTATTTAATACTTTTTATTTTCAAATCTATTTCGAAATTTAAAGAATCTCAGTTCAATTATCAATCTCAGTTAAATCTTGATATCAACTTTTTTTTTTGATCACATACTTTTTCAATTTTTTTCTCGAAATCTATTTATACAGGATCAATATTGAGTTAAATTCCATTTTGTACATTGCTTTTTTTCTCCAGTTTCATACTCATAAATTGAAGATGAAAAAAAATTATCGTTGCATAAGGATACATATATATATATAAGTGAAAAATGCATATGATTAAGAAATCGAAATAAAACGTGCATCGAAAGAATATGATAAGAATCTTAAGAAAATTTAAATTTTCCACGCGGCGCATAAATAGAGACGCAAAACAAAATATATCATGAAAAACTTTTCAAAGATCATATGCCTCAAAATAGTTAATTTGATATGGTTAAATAATAAATTTTAGATAAATTCATTAATTGACATGTTTTCAATTTTACTTGATTACTCATCGAATAAATAATATATGCTTTGTATACTTTATATCCATTTAGCCAATGTCAAAAGATTATCCTTATTATATTTCAATATCAATATTATAAAAATCAGATTTACAAATAGATATTAATATTATTAATTATTAAAACATTATAACATTATAATTATTAAAACTAAATTCAATATGATAACTCGAGTTAACTCTGTATAACCTGTACAAAATTTTAGTTGTAACAAAGCGATAATTAATAAATTCAATAAATAAAAATTAATTAAATTAGATTATTCATTTATAAAAAGTAATAATGTTTTTTATTAATAGATATTAAAAAGAAACAGATATAAGTAATAAAATAATTTTTATAATAATTATTTAAATCTGTTTTCATATTTTTAAAATTCTTGATATAAGTTTTGTCATCAAAATTGATATAAGATTTATTAAGTTATATTAATAAATTGACATTAAAAGTATGTTAAAATCTATACTAACACTTACATTAAATCTACATTAAAATATATCAAGTGATGGCAAAATATATCAAGTTCTATTATATCTTTCATAAACATTTACTGTACTTTATTGTACAATCATATTTTTTGAAATTCCCATATTATAAATGTTACAGAATTTTTTAAAAGAAAATATATTAAAAAAGACATTAAAAGTATGTTAAAATCTATACTAATACTTACATTAAATCTATATTAAAATATATCAAGTCTTGATGGCAAAATATATCAAGTTCTATTATATCTTTCATAAACATTTACTGCACTTTATTGTACAATCATATTTTT